CTTTCCCAACCTCCAACAGCCACCATCTATTTCCCGTCGGCCGACCTGTAGAGAGATGAAAGCTGGTTGGGCCTATGGATACACGGCGGCTGCGAGGGCGGACATTGTCGACCACCTCTCGTGAAGGATCATCCCGATCTGTGAATTTTCAGGCACCGACGGAGTGTGCGCTTGTGGACGACGGCAATCCGAGATAGGCGAACAGTTGTTGCTGCTCGTGTGTATGTAGAACAAGCTGCGAACGACGGCGTTTGGTGCGTGTTCAAGCTCCGGCGACCGGCAGCGTTGGTGAGCAGCGAACGGAGGTGTGTGGTCGTGCACCTGCGTCAAGCTTTCAGAGGCGGTGGCAAGCAGCGACGGCGATCTGCTCAGCGGTTGTGGCGGCGCCGCGTGGTGGTGGTCGGACAGTAGCCGCTGTGTGCGTGCGTCTGTGTTGGGCTTTGTGTGTGTGTGTGAGAGAGAGAGAGAGAGAGAGAGAGAGAGAGATAGATTGGTTAGGTGAGGAGACTAACTGGCTTTGACTCACGTGGGTGTGGGGAGTTGTGTTATGTGGGTCCCACTGTTTGTATGTGTGGTAGATTGCAGAGCTGGCAAGCTAAATTCTTAAGCACTGCTGGCAAAGAAGTTCTTCTCAAATAAGTTATTCAAGCTTTCCCTGTGTTTTCAATGTCATGCTTTAAACTCCCCTCAACTCTTTGTGCTGAAATATCAAGGCTTTGTGCAACTTTCTGGTGGCATTCAGGAGATCAAAATACAAAAAGCATCCACTAGAAGAGATGGGAACTTCTGACCCTCCCCAAACAACAAGGTGGGCTGGGTTTTCTTGATATTAAACTCTTCAACCAAGCTCTCATTTGCAAGCAGCTTTGGAGGATGGCATCCAACCCTGATCTCATAGTCTGCAAAATTATTAAGGATAGGTACTTCCCCAACACTTCCATTATTCATGCTGCAAAAACCTCTAATGCCTCTGGGATGTGGAACTTTTGGATGGAGATGATGCCAACCTTCTCCAAATGGTTGAGAGTTGAAATCAGAAATGGAGCCAACACAAAAATTGACAGCTTTATTTGGGTACCAAATCTCACAAAAGCTTCCCCTACACTCTTGGAAATTGCTAGAGGCCACTTGATATGGGTTAAGGACTTATTGCATTCTGATGGAGTTAGCTAGAATGATTGGTTGGTAAGACAAGTGTTCAATGAAGCAGACAGCAATGCAATTCTAAGTATCAGCTCTCTGAACCCTAACAGAGATGACAGATTTTTCTGGGGTTTAGACACCAAGGGGCAGTTTTCCACTTCCAATACTTACATTTTTCTTTCCAAACAGAAGTTGTCCAGACTGGATATCCATGAAAGTAGCTCAAACTCAACTGTTTGCAAAAAAATTCTTCACAGAGGCTGGTCTCTGATAGTGCTAGGCAAGATCAAACATTTTTTATGGAAATGTATATCTGGAACACTTCATGTTGCAGCTCTGCTAAAAAAAAGAGGCATGGACATTGATCCTACATGTCCCTTGTGTGGGGAAGCTCTTGAGACAACTGAACATCTACTGTTTTCCTGCCCTAGAGCTAAAAGACTCTGGGATTTGTCTCCTGTGTACTGGGATGGGCTTCAAGACTCTGCTGATTCCTTCAAAGCATGGTGGTACCAGATTTGCTCCCTGGGAACTTCAAAGACTGCCAAAGATATAATTCAACTTACAACATATTTACTTTGGTGGCTCTGGAAGACGAGGAACCTCTGGATCTTCCAAAAATCTCTTGTGCCAGTCCACAAAATTATCAAGGCTGCTCAAAAGGATTGGTTAGACTTCTTCTTGGCTTCTTAGTATATTTTCCATTTTGTTTTGCTAGGTTGCTTTGGCTTTAGTTTCTTGTAGTTCTGTAGCTTTGGCTTTTCTGTTTTTGGTTTATGTTGGTTCCTAGCTAGGCTTTATAGCAGTGGTTGGGTGCTAAACCTTGGTCGTTTTCTCTTCTCTTCAGATTTCGGATTTGTTATTTGTCTTGAGGTTCTAGGCCGCTCTCATGTGTGCCTCTCAGTTTGTGATTTTCCGGCAGTTGTGTCTTGGTTTGTATTTGACATTTATTCTCTTTTGAGATTCATATATATAGCTACCTCTATCATTT